ACACACACACACACACACACACACACACACACACACACACACACACAGAGAGAGAGAGAGAGAGAGAGAGAGAGAGAGAGAGAGAGAGAGAGAGGAGGGAAGAGCAAAAGCTGCAGCAGGAGGATCAGCAGCAAGAGGGCAGACAGTACCACAACGAAAACAAGTACTGTCCTCACACAAAAATAACACCCAGGCGTCATATATGAACATAACGGGCATGTATTCCTTTGCAACTCCCAGGCGTAATATTCAGTAAGGTGGCAACTTTATCGGGGCCCCAAAAATCCAGAAAAACAAATTAAAAAAATTACGTAAAATGACAAAAAAAAAAAAAAATGTTGTCTGAAAATGCAATGCAACCAACTTCTGGCTGAGGGGCACTTCAGAGTTCCTTGTAAATTCGGAAATAAAATGAGGAAACAAAAAAACAAAATGAAACATACCCTTGTAAGTCAGAACCCCTTTCAACCTCCTTTAAAACCCATGTTTWCCYCYCCCCCCCCCCCCTATAAAACCCATGTACACTTCCCCTTCCCCCCCTGTAAAACCCTTGTATACCTCCCTTCAAAACCTGTGTTATAGAACATTCAAATATAACGCTCGGGCGTTCTATTTGAATATAATGCGTGGGCATCTCATTCGAATATAATGCCTGGGCGTTTTATAAACTTTTATTTGAATATAATGGGGTTCTCTATTCGAATATAAGTGAGTACGAAGAACATGCGATTCTTTCAGGGTAAGTTGAATATAGCGCCCGGGCGTTATTTTAGGGTGAAGACGGTAGCAGAGGACAGCGGCATGTACAGATGAGCAGTAATTGAGCAGCAGAAGTGGAACTAGCAGAAGGATGTGCAGCACATGGGCATGGGGCAGGAGCAGCAGCGGGCGTGGGAGCGGGAGCAAGAGGAGCAGCGGGAGCATGATGGGCAGCTTGAGGAGTGGCCGAAGCAGAGGGTCGATGAGAGGCCAGGTCAGCCATGCCAGGACGAGCAGCAGCAGCAGGCTTTGGATCACTGCTTGGCAATCCGAGCAGGGTCTAGGACCCCATGTGTGAATGGGCCCTGCTCGGTGAGAGTGGTTGTAGTGGAAGAGGGGGGGGAAGAAGCAATTGAAAGGCTGCAGCTCTGCAGGTGCACCCAGAACTGACACACAAGGGAACATGGCTGTGGTGGGGGAGGAGGGGGCACAGATGAGTATGTGGCAATGTGCCTCGTGAGTGGAAATGGTTGCAGGCTGCTG